GTCTTGTTCTTTTACATGCACTCTGGTGGGCGAAATATTTCACAAATGTATCACTTCTTTGTTCCCTAGGATGATGATTCACCTAAGTTCTGACTTGGTATGCTTTCAATTTTCATTGCTGGGTCAGCTTCTCAAAAATGCTGCTGCCTAGGGTCTTTTCACTTGGAACTGTTCTCGTGTCCTGCAGTACGCTGCTGCGCCTGTGAAATCTGTCTTTCTGGAGAGCAGCAATAGTCTAGAAAACTCCTGGGAACATTTCTGAGATCTGAACGTGGTAGTGAATTCTCTGCACTAACCACAGCCAGTCTGGAAGTCTCCCTAGTTTGTTAATACACTTGTAGCTCCATTCTATTTGGCCTCATTAGGAACCAAGAACATTATCAGACTGTATAGATGTGCCAACACAGGGACAGTGCTCCAGCCAAGGTATCTATGTTGGCATTCATACATTCTGGAAGAATTAAAGTGACTTTCTGGGTTCAGCACACAAAGGCCAAGTCTGTTACATGGAAGTGGCGTGGACCAATAGGAGAGGAAATGGTGCTGAAGACCCAGCTTGCCCACTCTACAGGTATTGAAAGGGTTGGATCTTCTTCAGCCCAGTTCTAGTGTGATCTCATGGACTGAATGCCTGCTAGTGATTGGAGCACAAGTTATATTCCAGGGGCACATCTTCATTTGTAAGGAGTCCAGTCTGTGTGGTCTGATACTGCTCGCTGGTGTGAGCTTAAGCATAGCTTGTGCTTTAAATGGATTCATGGACGTGACCTGAAATGCACCTCTGGTGTAGGTGTGCACCAAAGATGGGAGCTGGAGTCAGAGATCTGGCTCTGGAAAGTAGTGCAAATTATTGTAACAGTCTTAGAGCACAGGATGGAGAAGGGGTGAAGGGTGCCTCATATCACTGTCACTGGCCTCATATCAGTATCCTAGTGATGGAAGCAAATACGTATTTCACAAATAAAGGAATTTTTTTTTTGTTAACTTCACCATTATTGATTTTAGTTCAATTATGGATGATACTTTTGTTGCCTCACTAACCCGAACAAATTTTGACTTGTGATGGATTAAAAGGTTAAGTAATAACCCAGGCGCTGTAACATATAGCAGGCCATTGAGGGTGGGGGAACAGAGCAAACAGATGAGCTGGAGCTCAGCCAGTGAACATGTCCTCCTGGCTCTCCTTGTGGGACTACAGCACAACCCTGGATTGACACCATTGTGAGAAGAAAAGTTTTAAGAGTCTGTAGCTTTTCAGAAACAAAGAGTTTGCTGCCAAATAAAGATTATGTACTGCCTAAACTACCAAGAAAGTGATATGCACGTACCCCAGAAAAATAATCATATTTGCAAAATGAGAATGTGGGTTTAGAAAAAAAGGAATTACTTCCTCTGTTCAGATGCTAATGCATCAGTGGTATTTGAAACTATTTAACAGTAAAGGTTGGAGTGGACTACTTGCTGAAAAAAAATACTTTGCATTTGTAGAAAGCCTGACTTAAAAGGATTTGGAGGTGGTTTCTTTAGGTCTTGCCTTGGTGCAAGAGATCCGTTGACAGTCAGTCACCATATATTCTGTGACTGACTGGTCAGCCTGAGGATTTGGAGCATGTCACGGGAGGATGCAGTGTTAGAATGAGATTCTTGATCATCTGGAAACATTCCCTTCTGCTTTTGTCTAAAGATGGGATAAAGACAGAATCGGTCACTGTCAGATGCTTGTGCATCTCTGTCAAGCTCTGCCCAGAAGAAGCCATTAGAGCTGAAAAATACTGAATACTGTGGTAGTAGGCATTTTAGAAACTTGCAGTGGATTGGAAAAGTATGTGCCTGTAGGAGTGTATGTTTAGTTCTTCTTAACAGCATAAAGTGAGATAATAGTCCTGAGTCATTGCCCTGCTGCTTGAAGCAAAATGTGCTTTTCTTTAGAGCATTGCACTGGTGTTTCTTCAGAGGGCTTATTTGTAAGCGTCCAGAAAAACAAAAAACCAGACTGGAAAGCTGTATTTCAGCAGTAAGCAACAATTTTCTAGCTGTAACCACAGAGCATTGTCCACGTTTGTCATTCCTGCTGCTGGCTATTGTTTTATTGCCGGAGTCACTCTGAGGATCATATATCCTGGGATGTCTCCCCAGAATACTGATAACTTGGGATCCATGTGCAGCGAGCACACAGAGTACACACAAGAGTTACACAGTATATGCTTTGCACTGTCAGGATGTATTATTTGGGGTTTATCCAAGCTAGGCCTATGATTGCCATATGTGGATGAGCAAAACAGGCCCATAAAAGTGCTCTCCAAGGACAGAAAATAATGGCAGATAAAGCTGGTGGTGTTCTACTTCAGCACGTGTCAGATTGTAGCTACCCTGAGAAGTTGGAGCCTGGAGGACACCAGTGATTAGATGAGTGACCTTTGCAAGGTGACTGGCCAACATGTGACATGCCAGGGTGCTAAGAGCCTGGCAGTGCTGGAAAGTCAAGTAAGGTGGGAAGGCACATGGTCAGAGAGGCAATGTACAACTGCTTCTCTAAGTTTTATTGTCATCAACTTTAATGGGAGCATGACAAAATACCAGATGGTGTATTCCTTCTGACTAACAATTCTTCATATTACGACTATCTTCTCTAAGAGCACTGTCCACCAGTGTGAGCTGAATTTCACTTGGATTTCTTGTTTTGTTTGAATTTTACTACTTTCACATGGAGAGAATATTAAACCTATTCTTGGTGTGCATTTTAGTTTTTGTTTAGATTTTTTTTTTTAAAGTATCTTATGAAGAGAGTGACCATTCATCCTTTTTTTGTTTTTTAAGTAAAATCATTATAATACAAAGGCAGTATTGTTTCTCAACTGACTGTTTTCTCATTCTACTATACTACAGTCCAAAGTCGTCTAATGTTAAAAGAAATTAGTAGTAGTGTTTGCTTTAAGACATCATTTCTTCTCATCTTATGGTAACTATATAGGCACAGAGGGGAAATATAGAAAGGGCTTGCAAACTTTGTGAAGAAGTCAGTTTAGCAGTCTTTTTCCCTTGGGGCAGAGCTCATGTTTCCTGACTCTGCATGGCCAAAGCCATGATTTTTTCAAAGGCTCTTGTGTTATTGGATTATGCTGCTTATTTTACTTGTCCTTCTTAGCCAGAAATTTATATCTTTTATTTCTTTTCTTTGACAAAGAATTGTTGCCTTTGTATTGAATGACAATAAGACTAGTACTATGTGTAATGTAGGAGGAAAGTGATGAATGTGATTTTTTTTTTTTTTTTAAATCCCTCTGTCAGGCAGTAGCATTCTGTAGAGTAGGAGGGAGAAGAATCCAGTTTAAGAATGTCATTCATGCTGTTGGTTTATTGTAGTCAGATTTTTTCATTTGCTTTTAGCATGCTGGCCTTTTCCAAGGCTCCTTGCTGTGTGCAGTGGAGAAATTCACATGTATATTTTATACAGTCTGTGGTTGTCTGAAGAATTAAAAAGCTTTGAGTACTGTCTTCATTTGCTACTTGCTCAATGTCAGTTTTTCTTGGGAAGCCATGGAAGTGATTGCAAACTGTGTAGTACTGTTTTAGAGATACTGGTGATGTGACTGTTTATCTTATGAGTGGTCCAAACCGAATATATATTTAAAAAAAACCAAACCCAAACCAAACAAATATCACCAGTTTAAAGCCACAGTTACAAACAGTCATCTGCTAACAGTGTTACTAACAACTTTTGGATGCGAGGTTGTGATAACTTCCTTCAAAATTATCGATGTTTTGGGGATATTTCAAAGCAGTGAAGGGGATATGAATGGGGAAGAGGCTGAAGAACTTCATAATTCTTCAGAAAAGGAGCGGTATAGGTAGAGGTCTGTGCTGTTGCTTTTCAAGCCACAGCCTCATTCAGGAGTTAGTAGGGGAAGCAGTAGCCTGAAGCACTCTGCATGGGTTCAGGCTTCTTTGAGGAAACACATGGAGAAATGTCTGCTGCAGCAGCGTGCGTTGCATTGATCTATGGCACTGGGGAGGTGAAGGAAGAAATAGTGATACTTCAGCTTTTTTGCTGCCAAAAGGCTTTTAGGAAACTGTAACTGTTCCCATGCAAACTCACTGAAATAAGGAAGACTTTGTACTTGCTTCTTCATATGACCCATCTGTTCAACATCAGCCAAACTCTGGTTAAATATGTTCAAAAAGATAAAATAGTTCCTGGGAATTACTGGCGTCGCAGCCCAAGCTCTGCTTCTGAGGAGGCGACGGCGTTACAAGCAGACTGTGCTGACTGTCATATCTGAAACACAGCATATGTGCTTTCCCATACGAGAGGTCTAACCAAAGTTAGTGCAGACCATTTCCCAAGACAAGTCCTTAAAATGCCTTACGGCCTACCAAGAGACTTAACGTTATTTTCATTCCCCCCTACCCCACTGATTAGTTGGTAGCTGTACCTCATTTATCTAATGTGGTTTTAGCACTGTAGGTGCCTGGAGCTGAATTGGCCAGGTATCGTGTTAAAATTTGGTGTAAAATTTGTGGTTGAAAAATAGTGCAATCTAGGAACTCCTAGGGTCTAGGAATTTCTGCCAATTGTAAATACTGAGCATAAATGCTAAATTCAAGATGATATCCTTGCCTTTTCTATCATAATGTGTGTAAATGTGCTCTCAGCATGGGTAATAACATTGAGTTAAGTTTTGTTCAAATATTTGTTCTGACTTTCTGGCAGACTAATTCTTAGAGCCTACAGATGCAGCAAAATGCCCTGCGGGTTTTTCGCAGAACTCTAGAAGCACATTTCGTTGTTTATGCCACATGTTGATTCAAAAATATTGTATGCAATAGCCCTTTTTATCTCTTTTTGAATACAAAGACTTTCTTAATTGTCTTTTCTTGTTAAACTGCAGAACACTTATTTGCTGCAGTCTTCTACCTTTCTAAAAGGAAAAATTCAGTTGTACAAATTCCGATTGCAAGCTGAATGTACTTGTTATGCCTTGGCATTGCTTCTTTCCCAGGGAGTGCTGTCCAATATTTCCTCCATCACAGACCTGGGAGGCTTTGATCCCGTTTGGCTCTTCCTGGTGGTAGGAGGAGTTATGTTCATTTTGGGATTTGCAGGATGCATTGGAGCATTGCGAGAAAACACCTTTCTTCTCAAGTTTGTAAGTAGCCTCTGCAATGGTACCATTCATCATGTTCTCTCTTTTGCTTAACTGTGTAAAGATTTTAAAATGGCTTTTTGGGAGCGGAAGTTGTAATGTGGTGGGACTGTACTGCTCTGTGGATTGCTTTTGTTTAACTGTGAACTACTTTACAGCTCTTCAGTCTCTTACTTACTGTGGTTTTTTTTTTTAAGGTTCCAAACTCTTGATGGTAAGAATCATAACGTGGAGCTGTTGCTTTTGCTATGGATATAACCTTACATTTTGTTTTTCTATCACAAAACGAGAAATTTCTGCTATCAGTCTGTATGTTCAACTTTGAGTCCATAATGAGCTGCCAGTGAAATATGAGGAATGTAGATACACCACTGAATGATTTGTGTTGTGCAAGTGCCCCTCATGGTGCAGAGGAGATAGGACTGTTGCTTGCTGATATCCTCAGTTCTGTACCATTTAGCTTACCCAAAAAGGAATCATTGCTTGCTGTTAGTGCGGGGGCCTGAGAGGGAGACGGGGAAGAGGATGTGCTAGGATAGATGAAAAAAGTAGAAGCTGTCTTCTTGAACTCTGGGCTGGACTGTTAGTTGAGGAAGGAGCTGCTGATACACAGTGTTCAAAACTCCTTCAGTTACATATCCTGGTTCTGTTTTTTAAAAGCCTCACTTGTATGAGCTTTGAAGGTGAGGATAACAGTATCACGTTCCATTTTAGATAAGTTTAAGATTTATTATAGAAATGCAAGATCTTTTTTTTTTGTCCACCACTGCAGCTTCCAGAGGTGGGCACACCCTGGGCAGTAGTTGTCTTCAGGACCCTTAACTGTTAATACATACATGAAGAGGCTTCTAGTGAAACAACTGCCTTCAAGTGACATGTTTGGCTTCCACAGATGTGTTATACAAGGGCAGGAGGTAGCTGAGACTTACAATTCTTGGGGCACTTATAAAGCAGCTTGGGATAGTTCCAGCTTGCTCTTGTCTTGCCTGAAAAAAAAAAAAAAAAAAAAGGAAAAAGAAAAAGGAAGGGGGGAGCTATTGTAATACTTTTTTCTTTTCTTCCTTGCTTCTCTTAGCTTGCCTAAAATGAACCCATCTGCTGTACCAGAAATAGCTTCCTATACAGCAGCTGCAGGAGAAATTAAAAATTCGTCTGCACAAACACAGAGAGCATATTAAAATGGAACTCAAAGGCGCAGTTGCAGAAGGGATAGGCTTCCAGTATATGACAGCCCCTGTGTGTTTTAATAACAGTGTAGACTCAGTGGAGATGCTCAGAGAAGGCGGCAGATCATTAGTAATGCCTTTGGCATCCATTGCATTTGCATTAATCATAGCAGCCTCATTTGGTTTTAATGTGGATGTGAGTCATTCCATAGACGTTCCGCTCCAACTTCGTCATTAATTAATTTCTGCTGTTGCCAATTTCTGCTTTGTCTACTTAGGCAAAGCCTTACCAGTGAGGGTGTCTAAAGAAAAAAAGCACATAGAGAGCATTTCACTGGCACTACTGGCTGTTTATACCATTGAAAATGTAAGTGCCTACATAGAAATTTAAAATGAGTTCTCAGAGGGCCCTATAGGTGGAGAGTGTAGCCATCTCTGTTGAGATTTAGTGAATTCTTTTGGACCTCTTTGAAAATTCCAGTGAAACGTCAAAAGTTTGAATTTGTTGCGATTTTTATTATTTGTTGGGATAGAATTAAGATACTTGTGTGATAGCCCTAGTTAAAAATGGTATATTTTTAATTTAAAATTTCCTGTGTGCTGGAATAGCTTGAACTTGCACTGAAAGAGATAAAACCCCAACACTGGATAGAATTGTGAGCCTTGAAAAATAAGTTTTTGGTCATAAAGCAAAATAATTTTAACCTTTTTCATTTTGTTCATAGTTTTCTGTGTTTCTTGGAATTATCTTCTTCCTGGAGCTCACTGCTGGTGTTCTAGCATTTGTTTTCAAAGACTGGATAAAGGACCAGCTGTATTTCTTTATCAACAACAACATCAGAGCATACCGAGATGACATTGATTTGCAAAACCTCATAGACTTCACACAGGAATATGTAAGTTGGACTATGTTTATTCTTCTGTAAAGATTGCTTTAAAGAAAAACAGTTTATTTTACATTTCCCATCTGTTTGATTTCTTCAAGGGACAACAGAAATAGTCTAGCATATAATAATTTTGTGTATGTATATGTATATTTTTCTTCAAAGAACTTCTGCAAACACACAGCACCTGGGAAAAGTGGCTTATTTGTTGATGTATGATTGAACAAACCAAGATGGAGAGTTGGGGTAACTTACTCTTGAAAACTTAGGAATACTGTGTCAAATCTGCAAGTTAACCATTGGTGTCTTGTGTTTATTTTTTCGAGCGTATTCCATACGTGTATGAAGATACTTCTTGGGGGAAGTGGTATTCAAAATACTTTATTGTAGGAGCTATCACATCTTTTTAAAAAAAAAAACCCAACAACTTTTTACAGCTTAATCTAATTCTTAGATTACTGTTGAGGTAGCTTTATCAACATTAGATAAAGCTAGATGTTTGACTGGTCCGAGTGAAATTACAATGTTATTTCTTTTTAAGTAGGCTTAATGCAATTAGCCTAATGAAGTGGACAACTCATAAAGTTCCCATAGGAAATCTCTAAATGACTCTGCATCTGCACTTTGGAGGGAAGGGTGAAGCCAGAAATGCACACGCTTGTGTGGGTTAAACTCTGCAATTCATCAGTGGCATAAAGGAGTCCTGCACTAAGTTCAGCACACAAGTTACTTTGCCAGTACCTTCTTGCTCCAGTACTCGATTCTGGCCTGCGTTGATGAAGTTGTCTGTGAATTTGGTGCTGTGTATCTAATATGGTTAAGTGCTGGTGGAAGTTTTTGTATGTTCTGCAATTAAAACAATTTCATTTGTTTCATTGGCTTCTCTGTGCCTTGGGAGAAAAGTGACGAGTAAGTGAGTAACAGGATGTGCCTGCTCATACTGATTTGAATCTTACCCAGTTGGGAGAAGGTCAGAAGTCACCACAGTGTGAAAGCAGTGGTCCATTTGTGTGCAACCAAAAGGCAATGGTGCAATTTTGCAGGCACTACATAAAACTAACTGGATTAGAAATCTTAGCAGATAAATCAGGGACAGTCGAGAGAGGAAGCTACTTTTTCAGCTAGTGGAGCTAATGCTTCGTGCAATGTGGTAACGTTCAGGTATTGTGGTGGCAATTGTGCTACATGTAGAACGAGAGAAATGCCATTCCAATGGTTTTAAAAATGTGATTTGTTGGGGGTTTTAATTTTTTTTTAAGTTGACTTAGATGCGCTCATTGGGCTAGCTCCTTAAATGCTGTAAACCATCAGTACTCCGGTGATCTCCAGTCCATTCTTTTTATGTTCAGCAAGTTTTACCAATCCTTTTTGTGTTCAGCCAGAGACTAAGCCTACCATTTGGCATATTTACTTTTTGAAGGATTCTGCCTGTCTTCGTTGTGCTATTTGTGCAACGTGTGATGCTCAGGAGACAGTGTGTTCCTACTGTGTGATGTACAGCCAGGCAAAGATTCCCTCACACTGGCAAAAGGAGTAGCTGTACCAGCGTAGCCCTCAGAGCTGACTGGTTTTGTTGAGAACCTGGGGCACGTTAGACTGGACAGCATACTTGCAGGTTTGGAACGGTCTCATTTTTTATTTTTTTTTTTTTTTAGTTTAAAAAATACAAAAACAAACTGTAAAAATGCCAAAAGGAACAAACCCAAGCTAGCTTCAATGAAACCAGAGGGAATCTCAGATTTTGTTTTGCAAGCTAGAGGGAAACTGGCAGATGATGCAGGTTACTAACGCTGAGATCTGTTTGTTCTGAAAGTCAAGAAGCTCTCCTTTCTTTGTTCTAGTGGCAGTGCTGTGGGGCTTTTGGAGCTGATGACTGGAACCTTAATATTTACTTCAATTGCACAGATTCCAACGCGAGTCGGGAGCGCTGCGGTGTGCCCTTCTCTTGCTGCACTAAAGACCCTGCCGTAAGTGACAGGCAAGAGGGTGGTAGGATGGGTCTGCTCTTCCAGTTTTAAATCACTCTATAAGATCTTTTTGTTTTGTTCTCTTCTGGAAGTCATGCAGGATTGTTACTTTCTCACCAGCCTGTGTTTTTTTTGTGCTTGGAGCTCAGCTTAATCACTAGCTTTTTCTGCAGTCAGCAAAAATCCTGAGCTAACTTAAGTCTTTATTGTGTGCTGTTTGCTGCTTTTCATTAGAATGAAAGAATCATGGTCATGCCTACACATACATATTAATTTTAGCAAGTATAAAAAGCAGCTTTTAATGAGTTGAAGGACGTGAGCTTTCAGCTGAATATCATCAGAATATTTCATTTGCTGCCTTAAAGAGTAGCAGCTCTTAAGATCAGTCACTCTAAAGCAGGTATTACTCATTTAATGCAGTGGCCAGAGGCTGCAGCCAGTTTGACCCAGTTTGTGCTAAGTACAGTAATGAGTGACAGTCTGTGCCCTGAAGAACTGACACGTTTCCAGTAGAATTTTGATTCCAGGTATGGACATCTTTACATGCTCTTTTTTCCCCTTTAAAATTACTGCTTGTCCTACAGTCACCTGAGATCAGAACTGAAAGGTGAGAAATTGAGGGAGAAGCTTTTTGGTAAATTTTCATGTCTTTTTAAATAGTTATAGTTCTGGATCGTCCAGCAGCAAATGCTGGAGCCTTGCATTACTAGTAGGGACATGATCAAGAACAAAGGGTGAAGAGTAGGGAAGTAGTTCACTGACAGTGAAGGGCTTGGAATAGGGATGGGTGTGTGCATGGAAACTGTTGTGGCTAACGCTGCACATGTTTGACTTTGATACAGCTTAAAAGAAGCAGCTTGTGAGTGCTTGTATTATCTGGTAGTTCAGCTGTGGCTTTTCCTCCACCTGGAGTGACTTATTGTTCCTTGAATGTTTGAGTCTCTGACCAAAGTGAGGCAAATTGCCAACAGGCACCTCAGGTGCTTCCTGCCTTGCTAATGCAGCATGGTCACTGCTCCTGGCATCCAGTCACTACTGAAGCTCTCCCCCCTCTCCTGATGGGGCACTGCCACTTGCACGAGCTGTGTTCTGGTTCCTCTGCAGTGAATGTTTTCACAGTAGTTTGAATCTTTCCCACAAACATCACTGAAAATGTTTTAATGAAATATTAAACAAAAATGTAGGTTAGGCTCAAGAATTATATTATGCTTTGGATTCCCCCTGCTGTTTGCCTGTCTGCCCACCTACCCACACAGAGAGGTCATCTCAACCCAGTTTTAAAAATGTAGTTGTTATAAAACCAAACCAGTGACAGCAGTACAAGATAATCCTATAAATACATAATCCATGCTAAAGTTATCTCTGTCTCTCTTTGTGTGTATATGGTTATGCAGTTTTCTTAGGGTTTGATGCAGCAACCAGAAATTAAAGGACAAGTCTCATTCTTAGTCATTGTAGGGAAGCAATACACTTAATTGCCTTTAAAGTAAAAACGAAACCTAGTAATATTTCTAAAAATAGCAGGAGTAATGCATATAATGGATATAATTGCAATCAAGCTGTGACTGGTTAAATTGCAGTGATGAACACAAGTTTATTCTGTGGGAAAGCAAAATTGTCCCTTTTGGAATTAGGATGCAGTGTTGGACTGATACAAAAAGTTACGTGGCTAATTTATTGAACAGGACTTATTTTTGGTTTAGCTTTTAGTTTAGCTTGAATTAGGAAGTGGTAAGTTTAAGGTAGGCCAATAACATTCCAAATATAGGAATTTGGACTCCTATAGTTAGCTTTGCCGTAGTTTAGCAGGCTGAAACGTTCCAAATCACTGTACAAGCAAGGCCTAGAAAAGCTGTTTTCTTTCCATTTCATTCTTCATGATTTCTTTTGGTTAACAAATTCCAAGGCTAAAGGCAGAAGACACTGATGATAAAGCAAGTAGGCATTCAGTACATGGAAGAAAGCTTAAAATCCTACTATTGGAACCTCACCTACTTTCACAGCCTTGAAGTGCATGGCAGTGTTCTATTTTTAGATCCTGGACAGAAGCACTTGTCTCATTAAAAAATATAAATTGCTCAAATCTGAAAGGTCCATTGAAGGAATCCAACTTGGACAACTGACAGGATGTGAACTGTTGATGTACTTCCTGCAAAGCGGGGAAACACACAGAGGAGTTTTAACTGCTGATAGGAGGAGATATTTCTCTATGACTGCTTTTAAAAGTGAATTCCTCTGCTGGCTGCCTTTCTCACTTCACAGTTTGATGAAATTGTGGCGTTCAGTACAGCTAGCTCAGATCAGCTGATTTTCTCACTCCCTTGAGTAGTTTCCTCTGCCCACAGTTATTATATGAGCCAGTAACTTCATATTTTACAACCACGGTTACTTCATTTCATTCAGTTACTTCATTTTGTTGCTCTGAATTAACTCTGGTATACAGAGTAAATGCAGCTTCAGTTTCCAATCAGTAGCACTCATTTGCGAGAAGTCTACCATAGCTTGTTTTGTTACCTGTGCTTTGGTGGTACTGAGGCAGAGGCAGCAGGGGGAAAAAAAACTCCTTTCCTGTTGGCATCAAGCTGCTGTAAGATCACATTATTCCATCTCTTCCCTAGTTGTTGGAAGGCACTTGGGTACTGTATATATTTCTACAGACATCCTCAGTAGGAACTTGCAGCCTATGCAAGAGAGGCTTACCCTCTTCTCACCTCTTCACATCGCACAAGCTGAACCCTGAAAGTGCCAACAGTAGTCTCGGTGTATTTTTCAGTGCAGATAAAACCTTTTTAGCAGAAGGTTCTTTCCCTCTAAAATGCATGTTCCCTAATATCTTTGCTCTGACTCCTGAACGCTTGCATCTGGAACATGGAGTTCTTCACCCAGCTGGAGAGCCGGTTCTCCCAGCTTGCTGCACTGAGAGCTGAAAATATTTTGGGGCCGTAGGCTTCTGTTTGTTGCAAATAATTAATAGTGCTAAATGGAAGAGGAAGGGATTTTTAAAAAGCAATATGGTAACCAAAGTTAGCGTGATTGTCTTATTACATAAAAGATCAACTCTGGGAAGCTGGGAGAGGGTGTTGGGGAGACACTTCACTGATTGCCTCTCTTTTGTCTCTCTCTTCTAGGAAGCTGTTATTAATACTCAGTGTGGCTACGATGCAAGGCAAAAACCAGTAAGCTGCCTTTTTGTTTTTTCTTAATGTGGTATCTTAAAGATCTGAATCTGTCTTGCAAGAGCAGGCTATTCTACTGATGGAATAATTGAGTGTAATTGGAATCTGTTTTCTTCCCTCTTCTCATTGGCAGGAAGTTGATCAGCAGATTGTTATCTACACTAAAGGCTGTGTCCCTCAGTTTGAGAAATGGTTGCAGGACAATCTTACCATAGTTGCTGGTATATTCATTGGGATAGCATTACTGCAGGTAAACATGGTGTTTTCTGTAATGAATTACATGGAAGAACAGCAGATAAATAGACTGCATGGGGGGGGAGCTGTATATAAGTCCTGGATATTAAGCACTTGGAATGTCCGTAGGTTTTAGTGAGGGCACCTCCATGCAGGAGGCTTTCTTAGTGTTAAGAAGTATTTAACTTTTATCTGTAAGGATGCATATTTTTTTTTTATTTTCAACTATTCACGAGTCAAAACTAACACACTGTTAGATGAAGATTAGGTAGAGATGTTTAAGCCTGTACAGACTTACTGTTTCTGGTGGTGCTTAAATAAGCAGCAAAAAGCTTGTATAGGTGGTTTTGTGAAGCAAATCTAGAACTGCCTGATTTCCTGGAACCTAGGGGCACTATAAAAATCCTGGGGTCACAGGAGTTTTTCAAGATTATTTCTTCTTCCAATGCTTGCTGTTAATTTGATTTCTAACTTTCTGTTGCTTGTTTTATATCAAAGTTCTGTATAACCTAAGGTGTTTGCCTGTTTGAAAAGAGTTGTCTGATGCTCCAAGTGAATAAACTGTTGTCTCTTCCAGATTTTTGGGATATGCTTAGCCCAGAATTTGGTTAGTGACATTGAGGCTGTCAGAGCCAGCTGGTAAAACTGCTGAAGTAACCACAAGAAGACACTGGACAACCGAAACCCTCTGAAACCTCCAGTGTGTCGCTCCGACACCAAGCTGTATGGACATGGGTGACAGGGAAGCCTTCTCTCCCAAGTAGTCTCAAGTATAGGTTCCTGATGTTGCAGTGAACTCGTGTTTCTTTGGGGTGGGGGAGAGAAGAGTGGGCTATTTGAAATCTGCTGCTCACTGATTTTTTTTTTTTTAACCACCAGTTTGAAAGCTGTTGAGCCGTGAATCTCTACTGTATTCTTGGTCCTGAGTAACAAGTGGACACTTTTTTTAAATTGGTGTATATTCAGTGGGACAGTTGCATCGTTGTAGTCTGTGGATATGCTGTTTATTCTTCGTGTCATGAGCTCTTCAATAGCTGCCAAATATTCCTGAGATGGTCTGTCTCCTCATCGCTCTGTAAAGGAACAATCTTCTTGTTTTTGCAGCTAAACATAGCTACAGGCCTAAACCCATCAAGCAGGAAGCAACTTTCTATGCATCTATTGTACAGTAAAAGAAATTGTTTTTAAAACAAGGGAATTTTTTTTTTACACAAGCTTCCAGCTGTCTCCCTGTAGTACTTTGGGGTTGGAATCAGCAAGCTCGCAGGGAGAATTGCCTAATTTTATCAACATCTTTCTTCCTCTTCCACCCTCATATGAAGGGAAAGGAGTTTTATAGTTGACAAAAAATGGCTGTAGAGCCTTTGGTTGCTGCCATACCTTAGAACGTCAGTCTCTTAAGGCAAGGATTGGGATATAACTGTATAAATGTATGAAAGCAGTGTGGATGTTGGGTCCAAGTGAATAATATTATTCAAAGAGTGAATTATATATTAACTTAAAAAAAAAATCGAAACCTATGTATTTGATATGGCTACACTTTTTGTTTCTCTGGAATTTAGTGTAACCTAATGTTTTTAGGGATATCACTAATATTAGTGCTTTGATATACTTGTGCAAAACTTGTTTTAAGATAATTCCTTGGTCTGTTCCTAGCTGAGGCTTTTGTCTTTTCTTTTTATTTTAATCCTTTTTACTTGCATGAGCTGTGGAGTAAGAATCTGTGACACTCCAGTGCTTTAAATCTGTGCATACATTTTAATGCAGTCTAATCCAAACTTACTGGTAAATGCATGTGATTATGGAAAGATCATATCCCCTTCCCTTGGAAGTTGGAGAGAACAACTTTTGCCAGAGTACATGCTTACCTCCAGCAAACAAATCCTTGCTATGAAGATGCATCTCCCATTGTTGCTGTAAATGCAGCAAAAAGCTTTCTTGAAGGAATGGGAAAAAAAAAGTTTTAAAATAGAAATGTGTATTGGGATCAGCCAAGACAGACTCTTTTGAACAGGACAATTTGGAAAAAGCACAAATAGTGGAAGAAGAATTAGATCAAACTCCAGCTTAGAGGTTTTGATTCATTCTTCTTCACTAGTAATAGTGAACTTGCAAACCTGACCATGGCTTGGGTAGTATTATTGCACTTTGTATAAATTAAAGCTTGTTGTATGACCCTTCTCAGTATCTGCAAAACTAGTCCTAAAAGCTGTGAGCTCTTGGCTTCTGCTTTGGTCACAGTGACAAAGGGTGTGTAGCAGCTCTTTGTAAGAACTTAGCATCTTTCTGAGGTAAGTTTCCTAAAACGAAATATGTCAAGTAGAAGAGATAAATGCATTGCTTTCAAAGCCTTCTTGTTCTGGGGGATGGATAGAAGGCTGGTCTGAAGACCTAATAAGGTCCTCTCTGGTCCTATGGCACTCTTAAGCATACCTGTACCCTTGCACATCTTGCCTTTCTGTGCTTCAGTTGGCCACGTTTTTTTTCCCCCTTTTGAAGATTGATGGTAGGCACATGACTGGTGCTCCACAGATGCCTCAGACAGTCCTGTTGTCCTCCTGTCTTTGAGCATTACCTCATCCTCTGCTGGTTAACACCCACTGACTGGCTCTGATTCAGGCAGCCTCCGCATCCTTTGGTATCTACTGTTAAAGGCCAGCCATGACTCAGAGTAATTTTTTTTTTAAAAGCCTTTGAAAACAATTATAATTAACTGTCCTTAATAAAGTTGGTTCCACCTCACCACAGTGTTATGTTTTTCTTAGCCACTCCTCAGCTTGAGGATTTACTGGTGTTTGTTTCCCCCAAAAGGGACACACCGTTTTGCCTGATAGAAGCAGGGCAGACAGGTTGTCAGCACCAGTGTTGTTGCACTGAGACAAAATCCTGCGGGGAGAAATTGGGGAAGCGTGGTTGAGGCAGTAACCCCTCCACCCGAGAGCCTTGCTTGGGACCCAGTGCTTTGGTTTGGAGAAAAAGATAAAAGCCTATATTACAGAAACATTCCTCTTGCCACTGATCTTGAATACTGCTTATTGCTGCTGCGGGCTTCTGAAGACAACTTAATTCTCCTACTTGAATTTCTGCAGTTGTACTGTGTTGGCCTTCTGTCTTGTCGTGCTGTTCTCTGAGTTCCAGTCTGCTGGGCGTGCTGTTGGCAGAGTCAGGCTGACAGGAAGATAGATGCTCCCAGGTGAGCAACTTGTGTTCTCACTACTGCATGTGTACACACAAATGTGCAGTGCTTCTGCTGAGTCCCAGAATGACTGACTGTTCTTATAAAAACCACTAAATAAGTTACTTTTCTAGACCTTGTCTTCGTTGCTGCAGATGCTGATCCTCCTCCGTTCCCTGCTTCCAAGAGAGGCTCTTATTTTTCTCAGTTTTGCAGCTGTTTGATGGACGCATACTGAATGTTCAGGATTAGCTGTCTGTATTGCACATTTAAATTCCACATTTTTTTTCCTCAGCTCAAGATGCCCTAGAAGTGCCCCATCAGCAGCTACTCAGCAGCTTAGGTGTCCAGTTTGAAAAGCTTGTGGGAGGCCTTGGAAATCAATTTATTGTCAGGTCCTGCCAAATGCAACCAAGTTTTCTTCCCAAAAACTTCAGGTGAGCTGCAGCTAGAGCAAACTGCTGGCTACCTGGGCTCATGTTCTGAAGCAATGAGATATGGTAGGCGATAGGACTTCTTGGCAATTTCCAGCCTGCCTGGTGTGCTGGTGGGGTAGGTGTGACTTCAAAGGTCAGTCTAATTAATGTGCTCTGGTTGCTGAGGAATTTGTTGTCAGGCTTGTGGCCCTCGTGGAGCGTGGGCTATCCATAGGGGATGGTGGTGTTGCTGACAAAAGGTCTGGTCGCTTCAGCAGTACCCTGGCTTAGAAGTTGTTTCCAAATTCCCCACCAAGCCCTGCCAAAAGGGCATCACAGTCCTGGCTCCTCTGCTTTCTAAATACTGTCTGTATTCATGGGCCTTTCTGTTTGATCTTTCTTTTTTTTTTAATTGATAGCCTAATAGACGTTTGATTTGTCTCTGTGTCTGTTTCAGCAGCAGTAGGATCTCTTTACTTCAAAATGCATAATTTTGATTGTGGCCCTTAGAGTGGGAAGCTGTGGAGGTGCTCGCTCTGTCCTGCCGGCTGCCCTCTCTCCCCTTTGGGAGAGATGCTAGCTGTAGTTTTGGTGTGTAAATAGTGTTCGAAATGTAAATAGTAGCATGCAGGTTAAATGACTCTCGCACATGTCTGCTTTTCACGCGAAGTGTTACAGACATGAAAGGGGTCCAGCGGGAGAGCGGAGGTTGGGGTACCCCGCGTGGTGGTGGCG